TATATATACAAATTGTGTATTCATATTTATTAAACAACCATACAACTGTCACACATGCATTTGTGGATGAAATATATTTAGTTACTACACTGAACATTGRTTTAACTAGATACAGCATAGAGGTAGTATGTAAGACCCCATGYATGTACACAAAGCACCAATGCACCAGAACTCAGGAGTCACTAGAACAGATTCATTGTTTTGGGTGGGGGTCCAGAAGGGTTGGTTTGGGTGGGTGCTCATTTGTGGGCCCTATGGATAGCCCTTCATCAGAGCTATAAAAAAATTAATAAATAAAAAAAATCTGAAGCTCCTATGCTGAATAGTTTTTGAGTTATAAACATTTTGGTATGTCCAGACCACCCCCCTTTTTAGATGGAGCCCCCTCCTCAAATATGGGGTGTATCGTAAAAGCATTAGCGGGCACAGTGTAGGTCGGACACATCTACATCCGTACCAAATTTTACATTGATTGGTGAAGCCGTTTCTGTGTTATAGTTTAGAAAAATCTTGGGAAAAAAAAACCCCAAATCATGCGGGGCATAAATTACATATGGGGGTCATAATAAACACATGTAAGGAAACCGTAAACAATATAATGGAAGTCTGAATAAAATTGATTTGATTTGATTTATTTATTTAACAGGAAAAAGATTATTAAACATCAAGCCTGACTCAGCATAATTGCTGTTTTACAGCAGGTTCCTGTTCTGCGGCACATAAAACACTCAGAATTACAGCATCACAATCACATCATTATTATTACACCATAGACACAAAGACAAACAAGCATACCAAATTTCAAAAAGGCAGCATTTGCAAAATAGCAGAAAACCAGCTGATTCGCTTCTAAAAACTTTATTCTCATCTCTGATTTTAATCAGACCAACAGTAGAACAGGCCTCAGAGTGAAAAGGCCTTGAGCCTTATCAGGAAAACAAACAAYAACAATCAATCAGCAGCTGGTGTCTGTGCCAAGCTGGCTCTAAGAGAAGACTGCACAAAAACTGACTGATGAATAATGATGAATCAACCTCTTAACATATATCTCTGATTTCCTGGTCACATACCTTTTACGTCAGACGTTAGAACGTAACAAACCCCTTTCATGCAGAAAGGCCTCGTATGATGAAAAAATAAGTGTCCCCTTCCATCATTTAAGTTGTCCATCCCTGGTCTGGATCCTCTGCGTCCCGGCTTACTGTCTCACTTTCAGGAACTGTTAAACTCTTATTTTTAATTTGAATTTTATGTGACACACCTGAAAACGAATTCTCGCCCTCCGCAGCGTCATGAAGTTCTTGGTGTCGAAGAGGCGGTTCAAAGAGAGCTTGCGGCCGTATGATGTCATGGACGTGATTGAACAGTACTCTGCGGGCCACCTGGACATGCTGTCACGCATTAAAAACCTGCAGGCCAGGCAAGTCATCAAGATTCTTCAAGTAGCTATATTATTAGTAGAGAACAGTGGTTAAAAAGTGACTCAGTTATGATTATTAACTAAAGTAATGGATACACACATGTCGATTTGCCTGTKTCATTTGTCAGCTACATGTGCTGTATTCAGTATAATATCAACAGCTTTATCTAAAACCCCAGTACAGCTCACTTCTTTACAAATGTGTTCAACGTTGGTGTGTTTTGTTTTATATCAGTTATATCTAGATCCTCAAATCCTGATGCCCTGAAGGTCTAACATGCACCAGAAATATATTCCAGCAGTGAAAAACATACACTTTCCATCCATGAAGCAAGCCAGACTCACCATATGTGCTGTGTTGTGTGGAATATATTGAAAGTTGTTCTCCATAGCTGATGTGATTCCCATGTTGCTTCATTTTGCACTGCACTCACATCGTCTCTGTGTGCCTCGCCAGGATAGATATGATTGTTGGGCCCCCTCCCCCAACAACACCTCGCCATAAGAAGTCCACTGAAGGTCCTAGGTTAGGTTAATAGACTGCACCTTTAGAATGACCATACTATCAGCATTAATCTCCTGGCATCGTAGTTGAAATACTCAAGCAGTTGCATACTTCAYCATTTTGACTGATGGATCCTTTTTGAGCTTGGGCTGCTTGATCTGGTTCATTAGACCAACAGAATAGTAAAGGATGAAATCAAAGTTTAACAAAGAACAGTGAGAAAATGTGTTAAACGGCTGTTTACAGTTTTTCTCAGTTGCTTTGGTGCAAATCTTAAATTGACATTTGCAAAACAATGCATACGAAACACCATGGATTACCTCCTAAATCCTTTGTTCATCTCTCAAAACTAAATTTCWAAGAAYGTGTCAGTGCCATCAGAAGGTCAAGTCTTTGTGTCCTATACAGATAAAACTGTCAGATTGCTTTGTCATGTTGTCAATATATAACAGCGTACTCTGGAGGATGTTCTGATGTAAACTAGGGCTAAAGTTTTAATGAAATGTAATTGTGGGAGAGTGATTTCAAGAGTCTAGACAAAATTCACATTTATGCTTTTACATTTTGTGCTGTAGTTTGTTGACAGACCAGTCATTGCAATAAAGGAAAAGACAGCAAACTGTACACACAGTGCTGTAGGAATTACAGAGCAGTCTTCCTACACCACAAATTCTCTCCCACATCTCAATAAATATCTTCTCTTGTGATGCAGCGAGGTAAGAAACTTGTGTTTTATCCAGCCTCTGCAGACATCTGCTGTGATGTCATCACATGCTGCATGGCAGTGGGGTCAGGGGTGATTCTAGGGGTGGGGCCACAGGGGCATTGGCCACTGCTGAAATCGACTGGCCCTCTGAGGTGCCCCTATGAAAATACCTTTATATGCCCCTGTCCTGTCACTCATCTGTCCTTTGCCTGAGAGCAATGATGGTGGGTGCAGTTCCATGCCCAAACCCTGGAGGCACTAATGAGTCAAACAGTGAAGTCCAGCATGAATCAATCTTAAAGAAGCCTTTTTCTCTTGAATAATCCTGCAAAAAAATCTTTCAGTTGACAAACAATGGCTTCATTTTCTCACATGCTTTGAGAATATAGCTTGTAAAATTGATAAGGAGAATTTAAACTCAACTTTTTTGGAATCTTTTAAAAACATAATATTACGTTACAAGTGTTGGAACATATGTGACCGGTTAAATTTATACACTTTATAAAAACTGAGGGCCTACAAAATTCATAAAAAACCTCCTGGTTGGACTCATCACTGTACAGTTCCTTCATTGTCTGATGCCTTGACTTTTCAGAATTATGTTTTGTATAGTGGTATTAATTTATATTTTCAGATCTTCCAAGGTGCCAATTTTGGAACTCTCTGTGCATTGTTGCCCAAATCAAATTCTGGAAGTGGTCATTCAACTAGATCTGTTACAAAAGGACAACTGATATTACCAACTTTTAAAAACTGTTACGGCCAGAGGTCTTTCTTCTATGTTTATACTAAAGCATGGAATGACATTCCTCAAAACATAAAGTCCATTTCAAAACTACAGCCCTTTAAGAAGAATCTTGTCTGCCATCTGCTGGACACTTTTTGTTSTGCTCATATTTAGACGTCCTATTTTGCAAATGCTGCCTTTTTGAAATTTGGTATGCTTGTTTGTCTTCTATGGTGTATAATGATGTGATTGTGATGCTGTAATTCTGAGTGTTTTATGAGCTGCAGAACAGGAACCTGCTGTAAAACAGCAATTATGCTGAGTCAGGCTTGATTTTTAATAATCTTTTCTTGTTAAATAAATAAATCAAATCAATTATGTACATGGATGTTGAACAAATACTTGGTCCCTCTATGAATATTGTGGCCCCTTACTCAGAAAAATCCTAGATCTGCCACTGAGTGGGGTAAAGGAATGGAGAGTGGAGTGAGAGGAACTCCATCAGCATCCTGTTGTGACCCACAAACCATTTCCTGATGATGTTGGATCAATGGAAACTGACTTTGTCCCAAACTGTCACAAGTCATCTCCAGTCCGACCAGTCTTTTGTTCAGGGATGAGATCAGTGTGTACAAAGGTGACAAGATGCTCTGTATTTTATGTATGAAAGTCAGCATTCATAGGGGAACAATTCCTCGATTCAGGACAGATTTTAAAAACAAAGTTTCATGCAGATATGTAGAAATTTGACCTATTGTGAGAACTTCAGCCATTTTKCATGTAAAAACTAAAGCGATGAACTAATGCCTAAATGTTGTGGGGGATGATATTATTCAACAGAGACACAAAATGTGTTTTGATCAACATTTTGATCAACGTGACAAAATCAAATGCTAACAGTGGAGAATTGTCCAGAATCATTTGCATGGATGGACCAAAGCATTTGCAACTTCAAAGAGATGAGAAACTGCTTTTTTTGATGTGCAACTGACATCATGACGTGAAGATTGAACAAATGAGAATTTCGATTCTGATCTGAGAAATGTACCAAAGCAAAAGATAAAGACTCTAATGTCTTATTTAATGTTTGATAAGTTTGTATGTAACATTACATCAGCTTTCCTCAAGACAATGTAAAAAAAAMAACAACAACAACTGATCAAGTAAACAAAACAGATTTCCTGCAGTTTGCTTTTATTAATGAGCCTCATCAAGTGGCCCCACTCAACAGGGGTTTAAAGTGCTAGTTGCTTGTTGTCACAGTAAAGACATCAGAGGGAGAGATTTCCCAGTAGGATGCAATGGAAATGAAGCATGAAGCACCACAGCAAAAAGCATGCCCAGTGTTGCATTTTGGCACCAGATGAAGCTCAATCCAAGCTTGTGTTTCCGCTGATTTTCATAATGCATGCATTCACACAGTTCGCCCCAAAAAAACAGAACCTTTCAAAAAGGTTGTCATTCCAAACACATTCACGTGGAAAACTCCTCATCTTAAATGTTTTAATTCATCCGTTTTTTTTTTTCACGTGATACTCATTCGCATTTCTGCACTTTAAAACTCTTAATAAATGTGTAGAGTTTTCTGGCAGAGCATTTTGTTTCATTTAATTCATTAAATAGCTATGATTCATGATTTCTTTTTGTTTTATGAAAACTAGAGTCGACCAGATAGTCGGTAAAGGTCCTAAAGTTGACGGGGACGCTGCAGACGACCAGAGCATGATGGGACGTTTAGTGAAAGTGGAAAAACAGGTAGGGATGTTTCATCTAAGTTTTCAACAAGTGAAGTCAAACAATCACAATTTCAAAAAAGAAAATACAATGGTTTCTTTCTTTCTTTCTTTCTTTCTTTCTTTCTTTCTTTCTTTCTTTCTTTCTTTC